AGATGTTATCTATGAATACTGCAAGAAGCCTAAACACACTAAAGACACATGTTGAAACTGCACCTAGAGCTTGTTTCTACCAGATTCAAGAAAGAAAATGGTGGGAAAAAGGTTGAAACTAGAAAAGGTGGAAATGAAAATATAGCTACCTCTTACAAGGTGAACAAGGACAGAGTGGAGAGAAGTTAGTGGGAGAACAGCTTACAGCAGCTAGGGCTGAATATGATAAGTATGGTCAAATCAACAATCACTTGTAGGGGTGCTCATGGTTCGGTTAACTGAACCGTGGGGTATTTTTCAAATTGAACCGACCTGGTCGGTTTTTTAAATATTCAAAACCGAAACCGAACCGATGCAATCGGTTCACCAGTTAACCGGTTAACTGGTGGACTGGTTAACTGTGATTCAGTTTTTCGATTTTTTTATGCACTTAAAATATTTAAAAAAAAAAAACCTAATATTGTCGGTGGTTGCTGTTGTGCCGGACTGGATGGTGCTAGTGGTTGTTGGCGGAGCCGCAGAGAGGAGAGGTGAGAGAGAGAGAAGGATCCCAGATGCTTCAAAACCACTGACCACCGGCAGTCGACAGATGCTTCAAGCCTTCAACACTACCAACAACATTGAATGGCGTTGGTGCTTGCTTGCCGGCGAGGCGGCGACCGGCATTGCCGCTTGGTGCTGGTGGTTGGTGCGGGCCACGCGACAATCTGAGAAGAGAACAGAGAGACTAGAGAGACTAAGAAGAGAACGCCGAACAAAGAGACTAGAGAGACTGAGAAGAGAGCGCCGAACGGAGAGACTAGAGAGACTGAGAAAGTGAGAAGAGAAGGGAGAGACTAGAGAGACTTAGAAGAGACAGAGAGTGAGAGAAGCTGAGAAGAGAAAAAGGCTTACTCTTGAGTGGTTCCGAGTTTCGAAGAGAGTCTAGTAGCAAACTGAGGTTTTCGAAGAGAGTGAGACTGGCAATGGCAGTCTAGCAGAGCCGCAGAGTGGCAGTCTAGCACTCTAGCAGACTGCCGAAGAGGGGCTGAAATTGAAAGCCTCTCAAAGACTCAGACTGCCGAGTCTTTTTGAAAAATAAAAAATATAATATAGTATTATATAAATATATTATTATATATATCGGTCGGTTCATTTAACCGCCAGTTTTTATAAATGGTTAACCGGAACCAAATCGAAACTGTCGATTTTTTAAGAATATCAAACCAAAACCAAACCGACCGGTTCGGTTTTGGTCAGTTTTTTCGGTTGGTTCGGTTTTTTGTTTTTTTTTTTTTTTGCTCACCCCTAGTCACTTGGAGTCCAGCTCCTTCAAAGATTGTCTCACTCAGGTATTCGTGCCACTACACATCATGCTTCTTCCTCAAGTACTCATAAAACCCCATAATTAATTCTAGTGTTTCTCACCATATGACCAGTGATTCACAGTTATTCACCTCTTACCAACTTCTTTCTGGCCGGGATAAGATATTCCTTGCTCCTTTCATGTCTCCATACTAAAGAAGAGTGTATCCTCTAACCAAGCAGTGAGACTAGACCCTCCCATCTCCAATGATGAAGGCAAGCTCATAGTTCAAACCAAAGAAGACTATTGACTTTTAATGGGTTAAAAGGGGGGCAGAGTTACCATGGAGGCCTTGGTTGTCTGGTTTTCTTTATCGGAGGAGGGTGCTACCTAGGAGTCACTAAACTCCAGTAGGATTTCCCTCACTTTGACCTTGCAGACAAGGTCCATCTCATAGAGGGAGGGGATGATAGGCCCATAAGCAATTCAAAGCCCAACTCAACACCAATATCAACAAGTTTCACTGCAAGGCACCCCACTTACATTTTCTCAAGGAAGCCACCTCACACCAAGCAGTTGCATGAGGCCTCAGATGTGTGAGTTCAGTTATAGCTCTCAAGCTCAAATCATATTTGAGATCATGGATTCACACAAATACCAACTTGAAGAAATGGAAAAGTCCTGAAGTTCAAATCATTCTTCTCTTATTGTCTTGTTCAAACCAAGCACTTTAACATTTAGGACCATAACATACCACCACGCTTCCGCAGTCAACATCTCGAGTCTCGACAGCTTCACTTTGGGAAACTCTCATGCTAGTCATAGGTAGCCCTCTCCACAACACTCTCACTCTGGCAGTAGGCAACCCTTTTCACAATGACTCACACCCCGGCAGCAGGTAGCCCTTTCCTTTTTGGTTGATTTCACTTGGCACCAAGTAGCCCTTTCCATGACAGTTTTTACTCTACTCCAAGTAGCCCTTTCTGTGACAGCTTTCACTCTACTCTAGGTAGCCCTCTCCATGATTTGAACTTGAGATGTCGTGGTAGGCTCTAATAACATTTGTTACATGTTTGACCAATATACCAAAAGTCTTAAGACTGTTGGAACACATCAAGCCAAGAACTTTAACATTTAGAACTAGGCCTGTAAACGGATCGAATTTGAATAAAATCAAGATACATTCGTATTCAACTCTGATCAAAGAGTGGATGATTTGAATTCGATTCAATATCCGTTGGATATTTAAAATTGCAAATTGAATTCAAAATCAATTAAAGAATCAAATAATCAAATCGATTCGAACTTGACTGGTTTATAAACTTTAAACATTGAAATAAAAGCCCTAAGAAATCCCTCAACGTTGCAACTTGCGAACAATAAAGAAAAAAATTCAAAAACAAAAAAACTAGAACAAGAAGAAAAGAGAAAAATCCTAAAAAATCTAGAACAAATAAGGGACATAGAGAAAGAACAAGGACAAAGTAAAGAGTTTGGATGGCTACAGCCGACAAAAGCCAAGGTTTGAATGTCAGAAGTCAAAACACCATGAAGCCCTTTTGTATATGACGAAAACACCCAGTCTTCTCTCCCTTCTCACCATGCTAAATTTTTTACCATGAAAGAAATTGCAGAGCTACATGTTAGAATATGGGGGAGAAGAAATAAAAAGAGGGAGGAAAATGAGGATGATGAAGCAGAGAGGGATTAATGGATTAGAATATAGAGGAGAACTGGAGAAGGATAGAAACTGGGAGGGAAAACAAGAGTTGCAGGGTAGAGTAAAAGGAGAGTTGTAGAACAGATGGAAGAAGAAATGGAAGGACTAAGAAAAGGGAGGGAAACAAGGGAGATAGACGGAGGGAGACCAGAAGTGAGAGAGATAGAGAAAGAGGGTAGGTTAATGAGTTATGATCTCAATGAATAGAAAAAAAGTATAAGTCTTGTCCATCAATTGTGTTTTGTCTTTTATGTTAAATAGGACAATTACTTTTTGTAAAAAGGAAAAAGAGTAGAAAACACTTAAAAGGTGCTTGATAATTTATAATTATATTATATTGTAATGTATCAATATATATTATACTTATATTTAATCAAATCAAAACAGTATAGATTCAAATTCAATTGGATAAATTAATCGATGAGAAAAATTTATTCAAATTCAACTTTTCGATTAAGTGGATTATCCGAATTCGATTCATTTACATCAGATATTGAATTCGAAATCGGATAGTTTGATACCGTTTACACACCTATTTAGAACCATAACAATTCCACAAGTCATGGTTCTTGACTCTCAAAAAGTTTCTTGGTGTTATGGTTCCATCCTTTCCCTATCAATTAGCATTCTATGTTTCAATTTAGTTCATCTACTCATAACTTGTATCCTGTTTCTCAATTCTAGTTTTCTCTCTTTTTTTTCTCTTGATTTTACTTATTTTTCAATTTTATCAGTATACTTTTTTCTTCCAGGTGCTGCATTGGGTACATCCCATTTGATAATCAGTACACATCCCCTATTTGTAATGAAAATCTGTTTCAAAAACAAGTATTTTTTGAGAAATAATTAGAAGTTTTTGTAGTTTGTCAAAATGGGATGTGTCCAAATAACAATCCTTTCTTTACTTGCCATTATTAACAGATATGGCAGTTTCTTCATTCTGGTCCTAATTATCAATATCCAATCCTCAATCTATCTTTAGGCCTCATTGGATATGTTTTTTTCTTCATTGTTTCTCTTGGCTCCTAATCCTAAATCCTAAGCTTGCTTCCTTAGAATTATATCTTTGAGCTGTCCTACCAGGGTGACCATTGCAACCTAGGTGACCAGGGTTCAAATCTTCAAAGCAGCCTCTCTGCATGTGCAGGGGTAAGGCTGCGCGCATCTGCCCCTCCCCAGACCCTGCATTGGCGGGAGCCTCATGCACTGGCTGCCCTTTAGCTGTCCTACATAAAGTCAGTATCAAAGCTAAAGATTATGATACAATATAGAACATAATATGACACGTCTTGCCCCCTTAGACTTTCTAAAAAACTGAGAGAGAACATTGCTTTGAGTGTTGCAATACCACATTGTTAGAATGGTTAATCTTTGGAAAGTAATGCATGCTCCCTATGTGAATAAGAAAATTCATATGTAGTAACTAGCAACAAGGATCCTATGATACCCAAAAAAGGGTCTCATGACTACAACCACTTCAATCCATAGTTATGCAGTCAAACTGAACTCAACTCAAACTAGACTTATCCCAGCTATATGCAATTTTCCATACAAATCCAAATTTATTTCACTATATACAGTGAATCCAATTCTTGTTCAAGAAGAAAGGTGTCACTCTTCTAGTCTATCCCCTCCTAATTATCTCTCTCATAGTTTTTTATCTTCTCTTATGATTTAGGATTCTTCATTTCTTGATTTAACTTCATCAATACTGATCAAAAAAATTTAACTTCATCAATCCCTTGATCCCTGATCATTACAAAAAGATAGTCGGTGTCTTGTGTTGCACATAATTATCAAAACTCTTTTCATTTCTTTCAAAATCAGAAAAAAATAAATAACAGATTTAAAGCACCAAAAGCAATTCATTATCTCAACTAAGGTGATATCGTTTTCTGGATAATAATCTATATAGTAATATTGCTTATGTTAACAAGCAAGACATGCATATCTTGAGATTCATGGAGTAGCATGTAGGTACAAATCAAGAGTGACCATATGGATGTTCTGTGTCCTTTGGAGCCCTTGCAACCTTAAATGACAATAGAGCAACACTGCTGAGGACCTGAAAAGGCACATACAGAATTGTTTTAAGCACAGAATAAAACTACAGGAAATTTCTAATGATGATGAAGTAAAATTACAGTGAATTAAGCAACATAAACAAATTAATGAATATAGTTGTTGAATTTAGGACTCAAGACACCTCAAAATCTTCTTAGTTAACAGTAAATTCATACAGAATCTCATAGCCTATAGTATCTGTATCATTACGGTAGTTAATTTGGTAAGTTTGCATGCACCAAAGATCACTTTGATCTATTTGGAATAAACATAATAAAGAGTCACGTGGAGAACACGTCATCTCCTATAAGAAATGCTGCATCAAGTTCCACAACTAACTGATTTGTGCTAGAATGGAATTTCTGGCCTCTTGGACTGTCACTCCAAGACAACAGTCGTCATGTTTCTTTCATACATTCAAGAATGGCAATTTTGATTAAAAAAATACAGTATCAAAGTTCATTCAGAGCAATTTTGACCCAAAACCCACAACAATAAGGAATTAAAATGCAATTAAAGCAATAAGCTGCCTTCTATAAGAACCTTGACAACTTTAATATTTCATGCATACAATATGAAACCAGAACTCTAATAAGTATTCTAACCCAATAATCGGGTATAAATTTTAAGGCATGTTCAGCAATGTGGTCAATTCCATGTCCAAATAATTCTGAAAAAAGAATCACCCAGAAAGAGGAAAAACCATTCTTCATTCATCATTTTCAAATTTATGTTTAAAAAAAAAAATAGTTATTGCTGATTCTTAGAATCTTCCTTTTTTTCTAAAGCTACTTTTGTAGTGTGTGATCAACCTTTACCGTCTTTTGCCTATGTAGTGTGATCAACCTTATTTTATCCACAATGCAATTAGTTCTCGAGCCACAACAAGTTTTTTGAGTATTACAATAGCAGTTTTTCTGTTGGGGAGGGCTAAGAGTGTTTATCCCTCCCTTTCTTATTGTACTAAATTTCCTCTTTTTAATGAAATTGATTCTGTTATTATCAAAGAAAAAATAGCATTAATGGTATTAGTGACGATGAGAACGATTATCATGACCACTGTGTTAAGACAAAATTTTGTCCTTGAATTGGTTAGCAATCCATGTACCATTACTTCTCCAAACTATTTGACGCTACCAGTGGGAATTCCTTCCCCAAGATACATGTCTTAATTTCCATATCGTATTCGATCACTCCATATAAAGAGTATTATCTCAAACTCTCAACCGAAGCATGTCACTAAGCAATCACATACATGGCCATTGCCTGATGCTTATACAACCTTGTAAGAACATGATCATCAAAAAATGATTATCATCAAGGCAACAATGCACCATGTTTATGCAGTCAATAGTCGCTATTGCACTATTTGAATTGGTAGAAACGAAAAAACGGAGAGAAATAAAGAATATCAAAGGCAGTGGTATAATTAAAGCACAACTGATAAAACAAAAACAGAAACTAATTGAAACCAATCAATAATTTGTTTTAAAGAAAAGGGGGAATTCAAAAACTTACGACGTCCGACACAGAATGTGCAGCGTCAGCAATGATGGCAGTGCTGCCGGACAAGTAACCGGTAAAACATTTTCCGGTGGCAAGAGCCACATCAGCAGCGAGACCCAACCTAAAAATGTTCTCGCCTTCCTTGCTCGAGTGATGTTGGTGATGAGAATGGCCAACGTGCCATCTCCTAGGAATCTTGTAATGGGGGTTGTCTGAGAAGATCAATGAATCTTGTAAAAAAGAATTGATTGGGAGAATGAGAGAATTAGAGCGGTTCCTTATGTTTGTGGAAGAAGATATTATAGAGATGCAGTAGGCCTTGTACATGGGACCTAAATTAGAGAACCTGAACCCCATTCTGGAGTTAGATTTTTCTACTTCTGAGTTTCTGGAGTTGAATTGGGGAAAATGGAGGAAATAATAGGGGAAATTTAGTCGAAAGGCATTTATAGGGTGGAGGGAAGGCTTCTTCTCTTGGGTGTTGGGAGTTGGGAGAGATACCGGAACTCGAGTGACTGCTACTCGAGCGAACGCAGTGAAAACATCCTCCTTTGAGTTCGAATCTGCTGACCACCAGATTTCCTACTCACAGAATCCTTCGCTTTAGCTTCATACGAGTGGCTGTGCTTGTCCAACTTTATACTTTACAACAATGGTCAATAGAGATCAGAGAAGAATAGATTCGACTAAACGATCCTGTGTTGTAATTTTACGAAAGAGAGAAACGTAGAACGACAAGTGTTTGTAAGGTTGAAGCTAAATGGCTGACTACTCACTTACTCGTGACGCCACGTTGTTCAGGGCCTGTTTGGGAGAGCTTAAGGTGGCGTTTGATAAATTTTAAATCTGAAATTTAAAAATGTTAAAATGATGTTATTTGTGTGCAAAATCTCAATAGATATTCTTGTTCGTGTTGGATCAATTCTCCAAACATCTGAAATAGCTTACTTTGGTAATTTGGTAATTTTGAATGGAGTTAGCATTATGTCATATATAATCATTCAAATCGTTAACTAATAAATATTATTAAAATCATTAAAATGTTAAAAATTATAATAAAATTAACAATTAAAAGTGAGTATTTAAGACCCACCACATACTTACTGTAGTGGTTGGATAGTGCGGCAAGTTCTTTTATCGCTCAAGAGGAATAACTCGAATGAGATAATTTTGGGTTTAAAACAAGGAATATATCTTGTCTTTTCAAAATTATTCATGTGCATTTTGGACTTTGGGCCAGAAGTGTTGGGTCGTGATCTTATCATTTTTATATCTGAAAATGCATTTCATATCATCCTTTCAAACTCAAACCCAAACGCAAGTGACATCTAAAAACAACATTTTTAGACTTCAGAAGTCTGGAAAAAGTGTTATTAAATGCCACATAACTTTGGTTCAGCAGCTTTGAAGAAGTTGTGGGCAAAATCTTTGTACTAAATCCATGTAAATTGATATACAATGGGGATTGAATCCCCATCCCTACTATACAATGAGTATGAGGCCTTACCTCTCTAATCAATTGGGAATAGGAATTTGTTACCAACAAAACACTCCCAACATTGTCTTGCATACCATTACAGCTCACATTTGGAACATCTCTTGTGTCATTCATGACTCATGAGGAGATGTTCCTAATGTGCAACTGCATTAGTTTGTTAGGACTAAGATGGGAGTGCTTGTTGGGAGCAGATTTGAACTTTCCATTTGGCGTTTTGTACAGTTCTTAAATTTTGGTTCTCTAAATATTTCACCAATACATGTGCGATTATATGCATGCTCTAGAAGCATGAAAATTCAGTTGCACATTGGGAACATCCCCCCTCCCCCCATAAATTTAACATACATGTACGAAAGATATTCTCAATATGTGACTATATGCCATTCCTCAAACCCATAACCCCCAACTTTGGCGCAAGTAGGATTCAATCCCAAGTTTTCACTACAACCAGCTAGAGATCATACCAACCAACCAATTGGCACCTTATCATATTTTACCAAACATTGCTTTATACTTCTAGGACTTCCAAGTCCCTCCTCAAAGTTGAAAGGTACTACAGTTATCAGGGTGCAATTTGGGTGGGTTGGATCAAGTTGATTTGACCAAAGGCTAACCTAGGTCCAATTGTTGAGACCTGGACCTTGGACTCAAGACTATCCCAACCCCAAGGTTAAGCTTGAGTTTACCAACAAGGCAGACTCAATGTTAATCCAACATAACTTGAGCTAGTTTAAGTTAATATTGACTTGTTTGGATAGGTTTGTGGTGTGTTTAAGGGTATTTTTTACTAAGTTTTGCACATAAGGGTAGTGCTTGAGAGTGGCATATGGGGGGGAGAATGGCTGCCCCATGCCTTGAAAATCCCCACAATACCCATTTAAATCTTGCCTATATTTTGGTCCCCCTAACCATGTTTTCAAGCTTTGCCCCCCTATTCATGTTTACTAGTTTTTTGGCCCCTTCAAGAAAAAAAAATAAAAAAACTCAGCTTTGCCCTTGTTTGTACATCCACCTTTTATTGGCCTTTATAGCATACATCAAGAAAATAATGGATTACAAAAATATGCAAAAGCCACTAAAAATGCTGAGGTGAAACACACATTCCACCATTGAAATATTTGAAACATACATATATAAATATTGTTTCTATTCTCTTCTCTACCTTAGTCATTCTCGCTATTTTCTCTTTGGCATTTGTTATGGACTTTAAATTGCTTTTACGCCAATGCCAACTTTTGTTTCTACATTTTAATAAAACTTGTTATTTTATTACAATGACTACTAGCTTTTTAAAAATATAAGAGGTACCTTGAGCTTTTAATGGAATCTGGTTGCTTTACTTTTAAAAGGTTAAATCTTTATATATTTTGAATTATCCCCACAATTTTTAATTGAGTGGGGTCAATTTTGAAAAAGTAATATAATTTTAACCTAACATAAACCGTATATAACCCATTAAGAATTTTAGAAGCCAAATGGGTTCAACTACTCACACTAATGACAATATAGTTCCACCAATGTATATAAGCTCGGTTGAGTATATCGTGCTACATAAAGAATGAGGTGGGGTAGATCCAGTATCTACTTTTATCTAGTTGTGTGAGGGAAGATTCAGGTTTGTAGGGGTGAGCAAAAAATAAAAACCCCAAAAAACCAAATTGATCGAAACTGAATTGAAAAAATCGGTTAACCGAATTGGTCGGTTCGGTTTCGGTTAACCAATATAGAAAACTGGCGGTTAATCGAACCGACCAATATACATATATTTTTATATATTTATGTATATTATATGTATTATATATATTATATATTTTTGTATATATTATAACTTAATAAATATGCATTATATATAAATATATTTATAATTTTTTATAATATATATTGTAAAAACTAAAAAACAGAAAAAATGATGAACCGAACCAACGGTTAACTGAATTGGTCAACCAGTTAACCGATTGGCTTCAGTTCTGTTCTGGTTACCGGTTTTCCAAAAACCGGTAGTACCGTTTTGGTTCCAAAAAATGCCACACGGTTCGATTAATTGAGCCGTGAGCACCTGTACAGGTTTGAGTAACTTTGAGTTCGGTATGGGTTAATGCAATACTTGTACCAAATCCAGTCCATTGGCATCTCTATACACATGCACATACGCATATACTTGAGGCCTAATCCAAGCCCAACTCAAGTTTAGATAAGGCCCAGGCCTAGCTTATATACTAAAACTCAAAACTAACAAATGCAAACCCAAAAAAAAAAAAGAGATTGGGTTAGGATAGGTTGGGTCTATCCAAGTTGCAACCTTGATTGAAGAACCTCCCAAACAGGCACTTGGACTTGGGTAGGCCCATCCAAAAAGCCTATAAGTGATGCCTTTTAGCTTTAACCATATATTAACAAATAATAAAACAGTTGAATACTTGAGGGTTATCATCTAAAACTCACATTCACTTTTGAATTCTCCAAAGAACCCCATGTCAAAGATCTACCATTAGTAAATTGGTTGTTTTTTTGAAAAATTACCATTCTAATACAAAAGACCACCCATTTTTATTTGCTCGACAATCGACACGATGGACCTTCCAAAACCCTTTTTCATTCTAAAACAAGCACAATATGCATTAATGGTTAGTCGGTAAGCTTCAAGCTTCTCTCAGTAGATGAAAGGTTGTGCCTCTTAAAGCTCTTCTCATAAGATGAAAAAATGAACAACTTCCTCGACAATGCAACCCTTTAAGCTTCACGTTGGCCTCAGTTAGGACCAACATGTGCATCAATCTCAACCACACTAGCCTCTCGGTCATGCAAACCCTTATCGACCCTTTGATCTCATAGCTAGCACAACTGGCAAGCGTATTGTGTTTCACGTTGGCCTTAGTCAAGCTCTCAATCATCGAAAACTGAGTTATTCACCCCTTGGACAGCTGGAAAGTGTGTTGTGTTTCACGCTGGCCCCAATATGCATACAGTCAATTAGTATAAAATCTCATGCAGGTATCTAGGCATCGACGACCATCATATCTTACACGTGGCAAATGATTCATTAAGCTTGTTGGTTGAAAGGGAATCAATCAAATTGTGGAGGGCATTCGAAGGAAAAGAACCCCAAAGTTACTGTACACATTTCCTCTGTACACATTTCCTTTTAGTATAGATATATTGATGGGGATTGAACTCCCATGCTAGACTTCTTGTATACAATGAGCAAAAGACCTTACCTCTCCAATCAATTAAGGATAGGGATCTATTACCAACAAAACACTCCCAACATTGTCCCACTGAATAGAACATACCATTACATCCCACATTGGGAACATCTCTCCTCATTCATGAGGATGTTCCTGACGTGCAACTGTATTAACTTGTTGGGACAAAGTTTGGGAGTGCTTGTTCGGAGCATATCTAAACTTGCCAGTTGGAATTTTGTATTATTCTTAAATTTTGGTTCTCTAAAGTCAAAATATTTCACCAATACACAATGGGGAGATTTTGTGCATGCCCACGAAGAATAGGAATTCAATTGCACATTGGGAACATCTCCCTTATAAATTTAACATACATGTACATGTACAAGAGATATTCCCAATATGCGTCTAAATGCTCTATGTACACAAAGTTTTTTGTTTACAAGAGATCTAGGTTACACAACAAGAGGTAGCCCATTCCCCAAACCTTGGTGCAAGCAGGATTCAATCCCAAATTTCCACTACAACCAACTAGAGGCCACACCAACCAACCAATTGGCACCTTATCATATTTTACCAAACATTGCTTTATACTTCTAGGATTTCCAAGTCCCACCTCAGAGTTGAAAGGTACTACAGATATCGGGGTGCAATTTGGTAGGTTGGATTGAGTTGATTGGAGCAAAGGTTAACCTAGGTTTAACCATTAAGACTTGGACCTTGGACTCAAGACTAGCCCAACCCCAAGGTTAAGCTTGAGTTTACCAACACAAGTGCAACTCAATGTTAACCCAACAAAACTTGAGCTGGTATAAGTTCATATGGGCTTGTTTAGGTAGGTTTTTGGTGTGTTTAAGAGTTTTTTTACTAAGTTTTGCACACAAGGGAAGAGCCTGGTGTGGTAGAGGGGGGCCATGGTTGCCCATGCCTTTAAGATCCCCACAATACCCATTTAAATCTCACCTATATTTTGGTCCCCTTATCCATGTTTTCAAGCTTTTCCCCCCTCCCCAAATTCTTTTTTTTTTTTGTAG